GCAGTTGCTTAACCAACTGAGCCACCCAGGCGCCCCTCCAAAAGAAATTTTTTTTTTTTTAAAGATTTTATTTATTTATTTGACAGCGAGAGAGGGAACACAAGCAAGGGGAGTGGGAGAGGGAGAAGCAGGCTTCCTGTCGAGCAGGGAGCCCCATGTGGGGCTCGATCCCAGGACCCTGGGATCATGACCTGAGTCGAAGGCAGACACTTAACGACTGAGCCACCCAGGCACCCCCAAAAGAAATTTTTTTAGAAGTGTGAATATAAAGGTCTCATACACAAGAAATAGGCACATGTTCCTCTAGGCAGAATCAAGGGGTCGCAGGTCAGAGACTTCCACATATGAAATTGCATTTAATTCTCAGAAGTGAATGAGGTAGATCCTAATTTATTAACTTTTACACCTGAGAAGGCAGTTAAGTAATAACTTGTTCAAGGTCATACTGCTACTCAGTAGTTGCAGTTGGAATCCAAACCCAGTCTCCCCACCACCACCCCCAAACTCAGTCTTATGCCCAATCCCATACTTCCTTGAAAAGTCCACAGGATAAAGAGTCATTCTACATTAAAAACAAGTTTTCAGAACTTTGGAATGAGACATTACATAAAGTAGATTCATCTTATTTATATCCCTGCTGTTAATGATTTATTAAAATTACCGGGAGGCCTTTTCTTTTTCTTCCCACACATGTAAGTAATCCAAACAAACAGACTATTCCAAACAAACAACCTATAGCTTAAGACAACTGTGGTGTAAGTCCTTACTTAAGGTATATTAACCTGGATTTCACTCAGAGAACATTAGAAGTTCCTCATGACAGTATCTTACTACTATCTAAATAAAGCTACAGGCCTTAGACTACATAGATGAATAACAAGTTGAAACCTTTCACAGTTTTACTCTCATAGGATGCCTGAAATTCAAGATGGTAATGATGTGGAACTTTCTAAAGTAATGAGAACTGTAAAAGTGATAAAAGTGAAAACCGTGCTTGGCATATAGTAAGCATTTAAAAATGGTTGCCTTAGCGAACGAATTTCAGGTCTTCCTCAATTTGGCCTCAAACAAAATTTCCTTTCCCCTACCCCGCTAACACGTTGTACGCACTCTCCACGCCCATCTTCTCCTACACGCGCTCCTCCTTTCCCATCACAAGCCGTCTCCCTTTTCTGAATCCTCACAGGAGTCCCTTTCCCCTCACCATTTCTGCTCTAGATTATGATTACTTCCCGCCGTTTACAATCCCTACTGGAAAATTATAAACTCTTAGGGTGCGGAAACCGTCTTCCCTCTCCCTCTAGGACTTAGCAGGTTTAAGCAACAGTACTCAATAAAAGTTACCTAATAATCAGTGGTTGACGAGTGTCGCTCCACCTCGTCCCCACCTTTGCTGAGACTGAACAGCCTACCTTGAATATTTGCTGCCTTCCCTTTTCCCACATAACCTACAATGACATGGGCCAAACTAAAACCTCCCTCTTCTGAAACCCAGCAGTTCTCTGAACTTGACACCTAGACTCTTAAAGTGCCTAGCTTGGACAGTCCACCTGCCCACTCCGAGGACTCCCTATGGTTGGAGTCAAGGCTCAACTTTGTGTCTCCCAGCCACCGCGTAGAACTCTGTAGGACCGTTCCACTAGACCAAGAAGGAAAGGGCTCCACGCGCCACAGGGCAGATCTAATTTGAAATTAAAAAGTAATACAAAGTACCTGGTTCAGGAAGACGCCCCCTTTCCCCGTACTCCAGGTGTCAAAAGGACACCCCTGCCCCTCATATCACAAAGTCACCTTCCCAAGGCATAGCCTGTGCAAATGCAAGCCACCACTACTACTGCTACCGGAACCCCTCTGCACTGGCCTGGGAAAGGGAGCAGCTGCAAGGGAATGGGAAAGCGAGCCTCAAATTCTCTACGAGATAAGGGGATTTGGTGGTATCCAAACGCCCTTTCAGCTCCGTTCCCCAGCAGGCACCGGGGCCTCACTTCGCGTTTCGGGAAACCAAAGAACGGAAAACGACACAATGAGACAAGAGCAAGCCGATTCTCAGCGTTCTGGCCCTGGGCCTTCCCTTCTCGCGGCCCGGCCTCCCTCACCCGGAAGTGCTGGTCCCGGTACTGGCTCAGCTCCACGTAGGAGTCGCTGCGCAGCGCCTTCAGAAGGCCGCCGGACATAGTGCAGAGAGGTGGGCGAAGACACCGCCACTCCAGGAACAACGAGGCTGCCGCGGCGCTGGCGGAAGCGGAAACGAGCGGAAGCGGCTGCAAAAGGTGGTCATCCTGTGGCCCAATCCAAGCGCAGCAGTGTCGTCAGCGGGCGGCGCGGGCGCAGACGTGGTCCGTCTTTATTTGTCGCCCGTCGGAAGCGAGAGTGGCGTGCTGCGGGTTCCGGGACGTTCAGAGGATGGTTCTTCGGCGGCTACTGGCCGCCCTGCTGTACAGCCCGCAGCTGGTGGAGCGTCTGTCCGAGTCTAAGCCCATCCGGCGTGCGGCGCAGCTCACGGCCTTCGCGCTGATGCAGGCCCAGCTGCGCGGCCAGGACGCAGCCCGGCGTCTTCGAGCCCTCGCGGCTGGGCCCGCGGGCTCCCTAGGTCGCCGCGCTGCCCGCTTCAGAGACACCTTCACTCAGGAGCTGCGCCGCGGCCTCCGGGAACGCCCGGGGTCACCGCCAGGTAGCCAGAGGGGCCCGGGCGCTAACCCCTAAACCAGGCTGGGCCGGGCCAGGGTCGCCGGCTTTCCCTTCTGGGCTCGACGCGGGCCTCGGCGCTAAGCAGTCATCCTGGGCACTGAGCACGGCTTTGAATCCTGAGTCAGACTGTGGGCTTTCAGAGGTCTCATTCATCAGAGAGCCCAGGCCAAACCGACATCCCCGGGGAAGCCCTGTGATCGGACTGGGCACGGCGTGAAGAAAGCCCCCCAAGCCCGGGCCCTGATACACCACGTAGAGAGAGCCATGACCCGAACCACAGCCCGAAGGAGTCTGCCCTGTGCGCATGGGACTAAAACTCGTGTTCAGTGAAGCCGCCTCTGCGCTGATAGAGCAGCGCGCTACTTCCAGGGGAGAGAGCATGGATGGAAAGACACAGCTGCCAAAATCCTCTGATTAAATGTGTGAGCCGAGTAATGGGTGTGAGTGTGGTATTTCTCCAGCGAGGTGGGTTAGGGTTCCTGGGGACTATAGGCCCATGGTAATACTCGTTAGCGCATTTGGAGGGCTTACTCTGTGCTGGTACTTGCTAATTGCACTCCGGGCGGGGTTATCTCACTCCTTACAATCACTTTCTTTTCTTTTTTTAAGGATTTTATTTATTTGAGGGAGAGCACAAGCAGGAGGAGCGGCAGGTAGAGTAGGCAGAGGGAGAAGCAGGCTCCCCAGTGAGCAGGAAGCCCGATGTGGGGCTTGATCCCAGGAACCTGGGATCATGAGCTGAGCCGAAGGCAGACGCTTAACGACTGAGCCACCCAGGTGCTCTTACAATCACTTTCATATGAGGAAATGTAGGCCGCATCCTTGCAGAGTTGGGATGTGAATACATGCGTTTGACTCCAAGGCCTAAGTCCTTAACCACAAGTCTCTGCAGCATTTGCCCTGACCTTTAATGCCGGCCTTCATGTCCCCCACCCCGTTATCACCACTGGGCGTTGGACCTGCCTATTACGGAACAAGCTACCCGGATTCCTATTATCAGTTTTAGAGGGTCTGGGATACAATCAGGATAGCTAATGGACCCATGAGTAGGAAGTCCATAGTATACAGAAATGCCTTGTCATATGAAGCTTCTGACTGATTTTCTGGTCACCTCTAATTAGGCCCCACAATTAATTGTGCAATCTAGAAAACTTGAAGCCATGGGAGATGCTTTTAGGCTGGTGACCAACCAGAATTTATATCCTAGCCTTTTTTTTTTTTTTTTTAAGATTTTGTTTATTTATTTGACAGAGACAGCGAGAGCAGGAACACAAGCAGGGGGAGTGGGAGAGGGAGAAGCAGGCTTCCCACGGAGCAGGGAGCCTGACGTGGGACTCGATCCCAGGACCCCAGGATCATGACCTGAGCCGAAGGCAGACGCTTAACGACTGAGCCACCCAGGCGCCCCATATCCTGGCCTTTCTGATAATTACAGAGAAGGAGCTGGATAGGGCCGGAGAGACCTCCTGCGGGGATGGAGAAGCTAAAGTAACATTCCTAATGTTCATACTTCTGATTTGATATCCCATCAGAGGTGCTGCTGTTTAATCCTCTCTGAGGCCCGAAGTCCCACTCTCCGAATGACCAAAGTCCTGGTTTGGCATCCTACCCTCCTATCCTACCAAAGGACAAATACTCCTCCCAGACTATAGGCAACTCTGGATTCTCCTTTGAGGCTGGCGGTGAGGAGCCTGAGGAGCTTGTTCCTTCTATGGTCTTTCTGCCACATTTGTCTCTGGATCTCAGCGGCAGAATATTAGCAGTCCCCAGCCTGACTCCCTACCGTCAACATAGGTAAGCACACTCACTGGTAGGTCTTTTCTCCAGATGGGCAGGGACAAAAAGGGAAGCAGTGCCGGAAGCAATGAAACTACTGGACAAATTGGTCATTTTGGTAAGGAAGGAGAGAAAGCAAGAGAAGGGGGCAATTGTTTGTTTCTCATGGAGGAAGTGTGTAAGAACTAAGTTCCCTCCATTTTTTAGAGGGAGTCGGAGCAGAGAGAGAAAACGGTCCTTTCTGCTCCAGCTACAGGTCATTTGGATGCCTCCCGCTTCACTGGAGAAGCCTCCAGTGATTGTAGTCACTGGCTTGCCATCCCATCAGTTACCCTATTACTGAAGAGAAACATCAAATTCTTCCCACCACCCCCAGTGGTAATCTCCCAGCAAGCTTTTCAAGCTTTTCTAAGTTCTGCCAGAAAGTGAAGCAGGGAAGCAACTTATCCTGCTATCTTGCAGGGCAATTCTGATTCACCCCTTGACGCTACATAGACCTAGATATCAACACTTTATGGACAAATTTATTAGAGGCCAGACCAACAATCTACATGGACTGCTACAACCAATTCCCTGGAATTCCTCCAGGGAATTCTGAGATTGTGGATGCAACTGGGGGAGAGAAGAGGCAAAAGTCCCAAGAAGCTTTGGGACCCTAGAGTCCGGGGTGTCTCCAAGATGGCACTTGGGCAGAAAAGCCATCTTTGGCTGCACAGTAAACAGTAAGTGTTTACTGCGTGCCAGAGATGATGCTAAGCTCTAGGGATAGGAAGACAAATCAGAGGTTCATAGAAACATAAACCACAAGAGCAATGCATTGACATGAATGGGTACTACGGAATTTAAAAGAGGGAAGTGTCCAGTAGTTTGCTGGAGCCAACATCTACTGGCTCCTGAGAGCAGATCTTTGGCATCTCCTCCCAACTTGGAGTTCAGTAGCATCATTTTGGTAGTTTGAAATCAGCCAAGGTGGGAGTATTTATGCCACGGAAATCGGCCAATGCTACACATGGGGGCTTTTCTGCCCCCAGAGAGTGGGCTGCTGAGCACTGACCGGCATATCACTGACTCTGCTCTTGCTCGGGGCCTGAGGAGGGCGTGGCGCCAAGATGAGCAGCTGCCCCAGAGCGGCACGACCGGGTGCCGTTGCTCCCAGTTGCCCCAAACCTCAGCCAGCAGAAGGCAGGACTAGAAGAGTGCTCAGGCTTGGTCATTAGTATCGGTCTGGTCTCCAGCCCTGCGCTGATTTCCAGCTCGCTGATTCTGTGGCCTGCATGCCGCTTATTCGCAGGAGGCGGTAGGGATTTGAAGAGGGAGGATGAGGACAGGTCGAGTGCCGCGGCTCCTCACGTTGCCAGTGGATCGGCAGCGGTGCCCCAAATGTGGGGAGCACTGCGCCTGGGCTGTGATGGCTTTCACCAGAGCAGCAGGTGCTCCGCTCCATCCTGTGAAGAGGTTTCTGAGCTTAGACAGTGACCAGATCGCATTTAAGAAGCCTCTGGGAGCACCAGAGAGTTCTCAAGTGCAGCCAGCTAACAGCATTGTGTGTTCTCCATTCCCACTCGGGCAGGCTGAGGAGGGAGAACATCTGGGTTCCCCAGTCCCAGAGAATGACCCTTAAAGGGTGAGATGCAGAAAGGTCCCACCCCCTCTCTCGGGGACAGGCGTAGAGGAGGATGGGGAGAAAAGTTCCAGAACTACTTGTTTTGGTAATAACCAAACGCTGAGACAGCAGGCACCAGAGTGCCACGCCCATGCTGCTTAAAGAGCTTTGGGACAGATGTGCCTGTTTAGCCAGGGGACATGTGCTGCAGACCAGGGCATGACGCAGTGTTAGCTGGCAGACACCTCTTAGATGCTTTTATCCACTGGAGAGATTGGGAACTGAAGCTAGGTGAGGGGAAGGGGCTTTCTTAAGACCACACAGCCAGGGAGTGGCAGGCAGACCAGGGACTAGACGTCGGGTCTCTGGAGTCGGAGCTGCCTGCTCTCTCTACATCACCACACTGCCTCCTTCCCGGTGACCCAGGAAGCCGGAGGGTTATCATGACAGCAAGAGGTAAGGCGTCCTGGAAGGTTTGAGAGAGGTCATTCAGGAATGTCATTAGCAGATCTCTCTCCTTTCATAACCAGGTGCTCTTACATACCAAAACATCACAGTGGCTAGAAGGGATAGGGCAGGAACAGACATGGGGCTGTTCACCAGACATTGGTTACACCAGCTTCTTTGGGGACCCTGGCCAGATCTTTGGTCTGTAAGGGGAAAAGGGTGCCAGCTTACCCAGAAGGCAGAGCAGCCAAAGCCTAGGCACAGGAGAGGCAGTAGTGGGAATTGCGGAAGGGAAAGGAAAGGAAGAGAATCAGGGCTCTGCTCCAGCCCAGCTACCCACAGAGAAGGCGGAGTGGTGCCTTCCCCTATGGCTGAATCGTGGGCGGTGGCTTTTTGGTCACATTGTCAGGCTTCTCCCCTAGTTCCAAGATGTGGAGGCTGAGATGGTCCCTCCAAGCCCCGCTCAGCAGTGAGGACAGGGCTGGTGGGTCTTCCAGGGTCAAGTGGGGAAACAGGAGTGTCTCACTCTTGAGAGGGAAGTGGCACTTCTCCATGGCAGGCCTGGCGGTGCCGGGGGTCACCACAAAAAGGCGGCAGAGCCACGGCCCACCAGCCACCTGGCAGGCTGGTTGTCTGGTGAAGTTGTTCAGGGCTCGGCACAGGACCCAGTCCTCGGTCCCGCCCATGTCCACCACCTCCACGGGCGAGCCCAGGCCCGGGAGGTGGAGAAGGTGCCGGGGGGGCATGTAGGTGTGGGTGAAGAGGAGTGTGTAGTGGGTGGGTAGGCTGGGGGGCGCAGGTGCATGAACCACCTGCTCCAGGTGCCCCAGGCCGGGCACTAGGCCCCCCTGATGCAGGCAGCCAAAGAAGAGGGCACCCAGGACATTGAAGAGGACCAGGGAGCCCTTGCAGGGCACAGGCTGGGTCTGTGGACTACAAAGCAGGACGAGGGGGACCAGGAGGGGGATCAGGAACCGAGCCTCCTGGTGGCTAAAGGCAGATAGCAGGGCCAGAGGCGTGAAGTAGAGGAGCAGGAGGTGAGACCCGGGGCCAGACAGCAGGCTCCGGCCCCGCAGAGCCCTCCGGAAGTGCATTTGTGCAAAGGCCCGGAGGCAGCCTTGCAGCTGTTGCCACGCAGCGCGCAGGGCCCGGGCATGCAGCATCCCGAAGAGCAGGAAACCATTGACTGCCAGGTGAGTGAGCCGCAAATGTGTGCCATGCCTCGCCAGGTTCTGAGGATCCAGGTTGTAGTACAAGAAGTTGGCAGGTGTAAGAACAAGGGTACTGGATCTAGAGGGACTGGAGAAATACCAGCTGTCCACAGCCACAAACACGGCCGCCACGAGGCTCGCCCCGGGGAGCAGCGCCAGGGCTTCCTTCGCCAGCGACCTGAAGCCAGGGTCTGTGGCCCCACAGGTGCTCCAGAGGAAGAGTGGGACCAGAGCAAAGGCCAGAAACGTGGGCCGGTTGAAGAAGCCAGCAGCCACAATGCCCCCCAGGAGCCAGCTGTGTGCCCACGGGCCCGGAGCAGGCTTCCTGGGTGTGGGGCTCCAAGCTAACCGGGGGGACACCAGCACCAGCAGCCCCGCGAAGAGCAGTCCCTCGATGGCGTTGGAGAAGGTCCTCGTGTAGAAGACCAGGGTGACATAAGAGCCAGACAGCAGGACCAGGGCGTTCCAGCGCTCCGCCCCCCACAGCGGGGCCAGGCGGTACACGGCCAAGTCCAAGGCGAAGGAGAGGGCAGTGAGGAGGAGTCGGGGCCCCACCAGCAGCACGTAGCCACTCACGGGGCCCGGCCACGGCCCCCACTGTTCCCAGAGCCTGAGCAGCCAGAAGGCGGAGCCGGAGGTCAGCAGTGGGAAGAGCACTGTGCGGCAGGAGCTGCTGGAGTGGAATTCCCAAGGCCGCGCAGCTTCGATGCCCAGGATGTCCTCTGCGGACAGAGAAGCGGAGGTGAGCCAGGTCCAAGCGCAGGGGATACAGCCCCAAGATGCTCCCACCCCCTCGTGAACGTGCCCCGCACAATCCCTGGGACTCTGGAGACGATGGGTTTTACTCCGGTGCTTAGGTTATGTGGCAGAGGACAGCGACCATTAGATAGGTGGTAACCCAGTGTGGGCCTGATGTAACCACACGGGCCCTTTAAAAGCGGAGAATTTTTTCAGCTGGTGGCAGAAGAGGACATCAGAGATTCAAACCGTGAGGACTTGATGCATGTTGCTGGCTCAAAGGTGGAGGGACCCCTGGCAAGGAACATGAGTGGCCTCTAGGTCCACAGCAGCAATAAACCGAATTTGTCCAACAGACGAGAATGAGCTTTGAACAGCTTCTCCCCCATAGCTTCCAGACAAGTACTCAGCACAGCCCAGACCTTGATTTCAACCCTGTGACACCCTGAGCAGAGAGCGCCTACCTGACCTCTGATTTGTTAGGCAGCAATAGAAATGAATATAGGAGAGCTCAGCCCTTCCGAGGTCTCCCTGTGGAGGGAGGCCGGGGGAAGCACGCCTGGGAAGTGAGGGGACTGTGTGCCCTGGGCAAGGTGTGTGGGGGGAAGGGGCAGGGGGAGGCTCCAGTCCCCTCCGTGGAGTGCTAAAGACTCCAAAGTCAGAGTCAAAAACCCATCCCTGTGATGATGGTTGTTATTCAGGACAGGCGCGTGAGGCCGGGGAAGGGAACGAGCGATTACGGTTATGGTCAGAAGCGACTTTGGTGTTGTCTGTGATACTTAAGATGTTTAGAAGAGTGTATTCAAGCAGTACTCATGTAATTAAAAACCTGCTTGGCTTCCTGGGGCTGGTCTGGGCTCCTGTCCCGCAGTGTCTCAGAGCTCTGAGGGGTGGGGGTGAGCGAACCCAGCTCTTAATTTCTGCATCTCAGCTCCAAGCCCCACATCTCAGGCTTGATAACACTGCTGGCTGCTTGGGGCTCTTGACTTCTGCTTATTCCTACAGCCTCTTCGCTGTCTTCTCTTTCCAAGTCAGAAGGTGAAGGGGAGCAGCGCCTGGGTGCCTCAGTCGGTTAAGCATCTGACTCTTGATTTGGGTTCAAGTCATGATCTCAGGGTCCTGAGATCCAGCCCTGCTTGAGGCTCTGTGCTCAGCGGGGAGTCTGCTTGAAATTCTCTCTCTCTCCCTCTGCCCCTTGTGGCTAAAATAAATAAATAAATAGTAAATAAATAAATACCTTAAAAAAGGGAAGGTGAAAGGGAAACAAAATCAAGGTCAGATCAATCTGTCTTTTTTTTTTTTTTTTTTTTAACTGGCTCAGGTTAAAAAAACTGTGGCAGACTGGACCTTTCACCTGAAGAAACAAATCCAGCTGTGAGCCCTATGGCAGGGCCAGCTGCATGTCTCCCCAGTATCCATTGCTTCCTTCCTTCCTTAGTCTCTTTAGTTGGGCATTTGGTCAGATATAAAGACTATTTTTCAGCTTCCTTCACAGCTAGGTGTGTTCACGTAATACATTCTGACCATCGGGATGGAAATGAGCAAAAAGTATGTGACATTCAAAATATGCCCTTAAAGAGGTGTCTGGCTCACTCAGTCAGAGAAGCATGTGACTCTTGATCTTGGGGTTGTAAGTTTGAGCCCTACGTTGGGTACAGAGATTGCTTAAAAATAAATCTTAAAAAAAAAAAATATATGCCCTTAAAGAGAGCAGGCATGCCCATCTCCTCTCCAGTGGCTGGAAAGACTTCATTTTAGACTTGATGGCTGGAGCTCAAGCAGCCATTTTGAACCATGAGGAGGAAGCCATGTGCCCACAGCATCTGAAAAGCCTCACAGTCCCTGGCAACCATTCTCATGATGTATCCTACACCCCTCTGCAGATAAATTCTAACAAGTGAGCATTCCAGGCCTGGATTCCCTTACACCTCAGATGAACCTAGAGAAGAAAAGTTTCAGTATCTCAGACCACAGCCCTGTGTAAGTTTCCCAAGCACCCAGGAAGCCCAACTCTAAAATCTCTCCACTGAGAAGTCCGAAACAGCTTTCACTATGAATAACCTGTACTGTTGGTCCAAGCAGGAAAACATCAAAGAGGCTGGCGTTTCATTAGTATCATCCAGAAGGTCAATGTCACCGGTCAGGAAGGAGATGTGAAATCCCCACACCCAAGTTCTTATTCCAGAGAGGCGCATGGATTTACTGCTCAATCACACAGACGTAGTTTCTCCCTCCCCCTGAATATCCAAACAGCAACAATCCAGACTTTGCTGCAGCTTAACTTAACCGCACGCAGGGAATTTACCTGCCATGACCTCAGGTGATTGGAAGAACTCATCTGGGTGCACGTAGCCTGTCTGTGGCAGGAGGCACCACACCAGGCGGAGCAGGCTGAGGCTGCCCCACAGCGCCCGGACTGCCATCTTCAGATCAAACTGCTAGCCAAGACCCCACGCCAAGAGCCTAGAATGGCTTCTCAGTCCGCTACAGATGCTGTTCTGGTTCCACGGACCTGCATCTGCTGAGGACAGCATTTGTTAGTTGTTATAAGATGAATCATAATATGTTCAGTTGTCTGAACAAACTCAAAACTCTACATACAATAAGAGCTGCTATTTATAAGTGCCCACTAAGTAGCAGAACTTCATGTGTGTATCTCATTTCATCCTTTCTACATTCTGGGGCCGTCGGTCTTACTATCGCCATTTTTAAAAAAGATTTTATTTACTTATTTGTCAGAAAGACAGACAGAGACAGAAAGAGAGAGAGAGAGAGAGCAAAAGCAGGGTGGAGCTGCAGGCAGATGGAGAAGCAGACTCGATGCGAGACTCCATCCCAGGACCCTGGAATCATCACCTGAGCCGAAGGCAGACACTTAGCCGACTGAGCCACCCAGGAGTCCTTTACTATCTCCATCTTACATACAGGGAAACTGAGGCCTCTGTTGAATGACCTAGTTACTTGCTAACCATATTTGCTAGTGTCTAAATATGATATCTGCAAATAGGATTTAGGGTGGCCTCCAAATACAGGTCTCACAGCCCCATCCTGTTCACCAGCTCCTGTCCACAGGCAAGCATGGCAGCCTGTCTCTTGCACTTCTGAAAACTTTGGGACCTCAATGCATTCCATCCATTTCCCCACAAAAATAAACTACATTTGACACCACTGTCTCCAGTCACTCCCTCCAACCTTCACACGCCCTGAAATTTACCTTTGGAAGGTGATGAGAACTTACTGCAATGGTCAGAACGTGTGTGTCCCACCCCATTAAGATGTTGAAATCCTAATGACGGATGTGATGGTGTGAGAAAGGGGAGGCCTTTGCGAGGGAGCCTTTCTGGGTGAAGCCCTCATGAATGGGATTAGTGTTCTTAGAAAAGAGGCCCCACAGAACTCCCTCATCCCTCCCATCCTGTGAGGACAGAGTGGGTGTGCTCTGTGCCAGGAAGAGGGCCCTCACCATGCCAGCGCCTTATCTTGGACTTCCAGCCTCAAATCTGTGAGAAATAAGCCACCCAGTCTGTGGTATTCTGTGATAGCAGCCTGAGCACACGAAGACACTTCCTCATCATGGGGATTCTTAACCCGCCCCCCTGCCCCCCACCCCGGACTCAAAGATCAGTAGGAATCTGAGCCCATTGCATGATGGACCTATATCTCAGATATCAACACCCTCATATCATCTCTGGTGAACAGAAAAACAAGTTTGACTCTCCTCCAAGAATACATATGGTGACTGTTTCCTGACTTTGATATTTTAAAGCCTGACCTTAAACAGCCGTTGTTCTCAGGTGGAATATGTCACAGCAGAGGAGAGGAGAGAGAGTGAAGCAACATGACAGGAATCCAGGAGATGCTGACAAGGAGCATTTTGATACTAATACCTCAAGAAGTTTGAAAGATAACTTTTGCAGTCTCTGCTCGAGCTTTTGGACTGAATTATACAGATTCTTTTTCAGTGCTAGTGAATGAATATCCTGACTTTTAGAGAGATAAGGTGAGGCTACACTTGGTGCTGGGATGCAAGCAAGGATCCCATTCCTCCCCAAGCAATGCCTGAAAGAGGACTTCAATTTCCTCCATTTTGGTCTTAGTCTGTACTTCATCACTGATTAAATTCTTCTTTCCAGCTTATCTCTTAATTCAGGCAAAAGACCCTGCAGGCAAAGCATCCCCTGAGGGGAACCAAACCTACCCCTTCAAGCAATTAGGACTGCGCTGAGCCAGCAAGCCCCATGCGACTGACCCCAAGACAATGGCCGGCCTGACCTTTCCTGCCCACCTGCATAGTCCCATGTCTTCCCAGTGTTGGCCTCCCTGAAATAAATTCCTTTCCTCTTTCACCACCACTTGTCTCTCTGCCTTTGGATTTTGTCAGCAGAGAGTGGCTGAACCGGTCTATTGGGGACCCTGGGAGTCAGGGGCTTGCACCTCTGTGCCCGCTCACATACCCTCACTTTAACTTTCCTTCCAGGCTAGGATTCAAAGTGCATTGTAATTTAGCAGCTCACATAATGAAATTATGAGTTTGGTTTCCAGCAATTTCAGCCCTGCAAGTAACAAGAGAGAAGGGTCTCTTTTGGGGCACACACAGGTCATTTTATGAGGATCTTGAGCTGGGAATTTGAAGCCCAGCAAAGGCAACATATACATGGTCACCCAAAACCTTGCCTGGGGTATCTCAAATGCCACATCACTCCATGGACTACCAGTGCTCTCTTTACCACTCGAAATAGTGCCTTTAAATCTAATCAGTCTAGACAACCAATTCCAGAAAACCCAGAACCTCTATTCAGAAAACTCATGAGATTCTGTTCCTCTAGAACCACTTACAGTTATAAAGTCCGTATTAGTCAGGGTTCAGCCAGAGAAAGAGAAACCAAACCATAGGAGATATACATTAAGATTTATTGCAAAGAATTGGCTTATGCATTTGGGGCCTGGCTAGGCAAATCTGAAATCTATAGGGCATTAGGAAGGGCAGGCCACTCTGGGGCAGGAGATGAAGCTGCAGTCCACAGAGGGAAGTTTCTTATTCAGGAACATCTTGGTTCGTTCTAAAGTCCTTTCAACTGATTCTATCAGGTCTACCCAGATTATCTAGAATAACCTCCCTTATTTAAAGTCAACTGAGGGGCACCTGAGTGGCTCAGTCGGTAAAGCGTCTGCCTTCAGCTCAGGTCATGATCCCAGGGTCCTGGGATTGAGCCCCACGTTGGGCTCCTTGCTCTCGGAAAGTCTGCTTCTCCCTCTCCTCCCTGCTCATGTTCTCTGTTGCTCTCTCTCTCTCAAATAAAATAAAATCTTTTAAAAAAATAAAGTCAACTGATTGTGGACTTGCATTGCATCTACAAAATACCTTCACAGCAACATTTACATTAAGTTTGATTAACTGGGGACTATTGTTTAGTCAAGTTGACAAAAAAAACCCTGACCATCACATTCTAGATAATTCAGGGTTTATAACTGAATTTTATTTATTATTTATTTTTGTAAAAGAATTATT